TGTGTGTGTGTGTGTGTGTGTGTGTGTGTGTGTGTGTGTGTGTGTGTTTGTGTGTCTGTTCATTCAACCACAAACTATAAATGCCCCACACAAAAAACTGGAAAGGGGTCAACAGTGTGTTGTACATGAGGTATTTCCTGGACAACAACCATTGCCCACATCCAGGGCAGCTGTGGTAACTGCTGGGTAGTTTGAAAACACACCCGCCGTGTGGGACTGCGGTGTGCAGAGGAGATCTGTGGTTTCCATGAAATGAATTGGTTTTTATCCACAAGATCATATCCTGTACAGTAGTGATGCCTCCCGCCGGAAGGGGGCAGTAATGCGCCACCGCCGCCAACAGCCCGCCAGCCCAGAAGAAGAAAAGCTACAAACATTTCCGGGATCAACTTTAATCCAAGCGCACAACATCGGTTGTTTGTTTAGCTGAATCTTCTTTCTTTAAAAAAATAAAAAAAATAAAAGAAGATCCAGGACCCGAAAAATCTGTCTGTCCAGACACTGGAGACGCGACATGGCGACCACCATCAGCACTCAACGGGGGCAGGTAACGAGCCAGCGCCGGATTTTCGACCCGCGGTCGCCCGTAAACACACGCTTGGATCCGCAGATCGCTGGGGAAATCTCGGGGAAAATACGCGAGTGAACGGCGTCGGGAGGGTGGGGTTAGCTGGGATAGGGAAATGTCTTTGACATGTCTCCGTCACGACCGGGTGACGCGTGACTCCCAGTCCGCGGTAGGCAGCCCGAGCCGGGGGAGGCAAAGCCCGACCCGGGGAGGCGCAGCCCCCGGTGCTCAGCGGGTCACGTCAGGAGGCTGGTGCCTGCTTCAGTAATCCCTCCACTGGTCAAAATCACCGTCAGCAAAGAGATCGGAGGCTTTCTTAATCCTACTGAAGTCCTTTGGGAATCTGGCACTCTTAAAAGGGCGTGTCACGTGGTCATCCCACGTTTTGAAATATGAACGTTGTTTGGAATATCCACGGGTCTCTTGTCAGAGAATGGAGGTTCTCATTGGGTGAGGGTGAATGTAGCTGGGCTACATCTCTTTAAAGGAGGATGTTGCTTCAGAAACAGACTGCACTTTTCTTGTATTTTCCTGATATGTGGCTGTTTTCAGGACTTCTTTCAGCGGAGGCCAATCAGTGACTGAAGTGACTGGACCCTGGCCTGTGTGCCTCACAGCTGAACAAGGCCACAGACTCTCCAGACAGCCACTAGGCTGTCTGTGCAGATAAAGCAGACCAGTAGCAGATACACGGATGATCTCTTCCCAGAAGAAAAGGTCAATCTGGGGATTTTTTTGGAACCAGGTTCTTGGCACTTTGAATTGGATGTATTTCGGAAATGTCTGGTGCCAGGGGTTAGTTGTCCAGTCGGGAGTTTGGTCTCCTCTTATGACATATTGGAGGAGGACCAATAAGAGATCCACATTGGGATGTGGGATCTGGCTATAGCAGCTGCAGGATGTATTACTCCAGGTGTGTCTGGCTTCTGGAGCTGCCTTCAGTATTCCATGCTAAGACTTCAACAGTGGGTGTGCGTCTCATGATAAACTTTATGAGGGAATGGAATATATTAAGAATTAAGAAGGCTATTGTGAAAAGTTCAACTTCTCCTACGGGGATGAATCTCTATGGAAGTTAATGCAGTGGATGATGTGAATACTGATGTGAGTCCTGGGGTCTACGGTTGTCCAGCTTTATCACCACATTCCTGAATTTCCCAGATTTTCTGGACTGTAGTTGTTGTCTGTTGGCTTTATTTGTAATATATGAGATGTAACCCAGTTGTGGTTAAAAACTATACATTTTGATTTAAGAATGATTTCTTTTAATCTAAAAGAAATAGCAGTTAGCTGTCATGTTGTTTTCCAGTCCTGTGATGGACCTGCGTCCTGTCCATGGCGCACCCCACACCCAATGGCTTTTCTTTTTCCATGGGCTAAAGCAGCGCATTTTGTGTGCTTTTCCCAGGTTTACATTGGAGAGCTTCCTCAGGACTTCCTGCGAATCACTCCAACCCAGCAGCAGCAGCAGGTCCAACTTGACGCCCAAGCAGCCAGGCAGCTACAGTATGGAGGCTCAATAGCCACAGTGGGCCGCCTCAGCATCACTGTGGTCCAGGTACCCAGCTCAGTTTTATCTGAATTGACACCAGTGTGGATACTTTATACCAGTGCACGCTTATCGCACATCATAGATGACCATACCTGATTTTTAAGCCTCTTTTTGGTCTGGTTAATGGTATTTCAACAAGAGAAGTTATTCAATATGTCTCGTTTTAGTTGAAGTATCTCTGATTTTGGGCCGGAGGTGACTAAATTGGTCATTTGATAATAAAATGTGAAGAGCTCAGCGCTATGCTATTGCACATTAGAACCCATCCTTCTCAGAACATGCCCTAGAGGGCAACAGCAGCCAGCTCTGCAAATCACCTAACCAAAGCCGTCCTGTTTGTGTCACTCTGAAGGCCAAACTGGCAAAGAACTACGGAATGACGCGGATGGATCCATACTGCCGAGTCCGGCTGGGCTATGCCGTCTATGAGACACCGACGGCTCATAACGGAGCCAAGAACCCGCGCTGGAACAAGGTGATCCAGTGCACGGTGCCCCCTGGGGTGGACTCTTTCTACCTGGAAATCTTTGATGAGGTGGGGCTCAGAACTTTCAGGACAGAAAAAGTTTTTTTATACATCACATTCCCTCCAGTTGGCATGTTTGCTGTTTTGTCGGCTTATTGTTTGATTGACTCAGTGTGCCTGCAGCTCAAATCACTGACATGAATCAGGACTTTGTGGACTCTCTTAGGGTGTGTCTCCATGAGCTCTGCACATCCAGTCATGGATGGGCTCAGCTGGTCCAACAGGCTTTAAGCTGGACTCGGGTCTAGTCTTTGACTGGAAGCTGCCTACATATTGAAATGTTCCCCCTTAAACCCTTCCAATGTAACTGTATGGTGAGGATTGTCCTGTTGGAGGGTGAGCCAGTAACCCAGCGTTATGATTTCTAAGTATAATGCATGGAGAATAACATTCCAATTGTTCCAAGACCAGCAGCATCATTCCAGGCTAACAGCAGTCTCAGTGTCTAAATGCAAACTGTCGGAAGTTATTGTAATGTAACTAAGCATTAGTCATAAAAGGAGAAGACTAGTTTGATTGTTTCCATCTGTTTTTCTTCATGCCAGAGAGCGTTCTCGATGGATGACAGGATAGCGTGGACGCACGTAACCATCCCAGAGGGGCTAAGGGAGGGCAGCGTGGTGGATGAATGGTTCAGCCTCAGTGGAAGACAGGGGGATGACAAGGAGGGCATGATCAACCTGGTGATGTCTTTTGCCGTGAGTTCAAATTCCACTCGACCGATCCTCCCAGTGAGACTCGTTCCTGGTTCTCCCCTAAAGTGTGAATACCGATGCATATTTTCACCGCAGTATTGTTTTTCTTTGAAAGCGTTTGCCACATCGACCCATTTGGCCCATTTTAGGCCCATAGACACACGCATGGGTGCCTGTTGTGACAGTTACCGTTCACCTGTTGTGTTGAATTTTGCTCTGAAAGTCAGTTTATGCTCACATATCTGCCTTGCCTGCCTCTCGTCTTCCAGAAATTTAACTTTTGATTTTCAACCAGACTGAATTGACACGAGACCCTAATTGGGTACAAATGTGTCTGACATCAGACATCTCAGTTTCACTCTCAAACCCCCCCGTGATGCCAATCCAAAAGAGTCACCTTTTTTTGTTTTTCCGAAGGAATGCAGTTTTAAAATGCAATCTGATTAATCATGACTAAGCACATTTTTATGAAGTAGCTAAAAAACTAAAAGCACATATAGCCTAAAGAAATGTACCCCCTCTGATGAACTACTCTGTGAACTGTGTCTCTTTTTCTGTCAGTCTTTACCGGCAGCAATGATGACTCAGCCCGTTGTTCTAATGCCCTCCGTTTACCAGGAAGGCGTCGGCTACGTGCCCATCACAGGTCAGACTCCTGCTCTTAGTCTCTCCCGTGCAGAAGTAGCTCTTTCATTGACGGAGTGTGTGACGCCTCTAGGGGTGCCCGGAGTCTACAACCAGGGCATGGTGCCCATGGCGGTGCCCTCGACCATGCCGGCCATCGGAAGCCAGGGCCAAGTGTGTAGCGAAGAGGATCTTAAAGCTCTGCAAGACATGTTCCCCAACCTGGACAAGGAGGTGGTTCGCACGGTGCTGGATGCACAACAGGGGAACAAAGACGCTGCCATCAACTCCCTGCTGCAGATGGCCGAGGAGCTCTAACTGCAGAAGACGGGCCGGGAGCAGACACGCCAACACTCACACATGCATGAAAAAAATGGTTGAAAAGGAAAACTATAGCCCCACTTTTATACACACACACACATACACACACATACAGCGTAGCTAACTCCCACCCCCGTGCTCTGTGTTTCCACTCCCAAGTCACAGAGATCTTTGCTCCTTTCTACACTCATTAGCCAAACAGTTCAAATGAAGGATGGACTCTGCTTGCACACAACTCCGTGACCCGAAAAGACATTCCTTATCAAAAGCCTCATAAACCAGATAGGAGTTTTGTTAATCACTGGTCCCAGCTCCAATCAGACAGGTGTAAATGTAAAAAACCACACAGTCATCCCAGGATCATTACTGCTCACCCAGACAAAAGGCTACGGCGTTGGCTCGGCAGTAATGTGACTTGCCACCTGGACTTCATTTTGGGTTTATTTAGTGTTTCAGTATTATAATATCACACCGCCGTCATGGTAATACAATATGTATTTCCCTTATCTGATTCGAGGATTTGATTTGCACTGATTCAGCCGACGCAAGTCCATCTCCCACATTGTTTTTGTCAGTCGGGTGTTTTGTATCTGTCTGTTCTTCTATTTCATATTTAGCTATGAAATCGTTAGTGCATTAAAATATATATTATTAAGAATATATTTAATCATACAGAAATCTATATGAGGCTAAGAGAGTGATGATGAATGGTGCATTAGGAGGAGATGTATCTACTGAGGGCAACACAGCAGTCATAATGCTAAAAACGTGTTTTATCTTGAGGTAATATATTGTACATTACACAGCACCGATGCTACATTTTATAAATTATCTTGTGGAGTCACTTGTCAAATTAACTTTAGAGTCTTAAATGTGCAGCATTAAAATGCGGATGTTTTTTTCCTGTTCAGCAGCATTTTGTCAATAAAGATTTTGAGGCTAGCAACTCCTTAGGCTATCCACGTTTTGTTTCCTCACCTACTTTCATCACAAAGAACATCCATGCAAATGTTTATCTTGCAGAAATGATTTTATTGCGACAGCGTACATGTCACAGACTTATAATGTGACACTGAGAAAGAGCACGTTAGATGATAAATAATGAAGGCGGAAAAAATGAAGAAGGCTTTAGGTGAGAAGCAGGAGATAACGGGCTAGCGTCTTCTGCGGTGCTGTGGCTTAGTTGTTCCCCCCTGAACAGCTGTCTTTGCTGCAGTGGCACGTTTCCACTTGGGTGTAGCTGTGCTGGAGTTTGGAGCCACCGGCACAGATCAGCTCCACCTGTTTCACGCTGGTGGTGGCCTCCTGGCAACATTCACATCGGTGGGTGATGGCGTTGGCTGCTGCAGAGTACCTGCACATACCCACAGACACATTTTAAAAAGGGCATTCTTCTCCAAAATCATATAAATACACACATCATATAAATGATGATAAACTGGAATGGTACTGGCGGCTGTTTTGCCGCCACTATTCATGAAGGAGGAGTGCAAATTGCGGGTTGCTCTAACTGAACTTAGGTGTGTAAATAGCATACATTGTTTGCAACAAGTCAAGTACGTCCACATAGCTAAACAGGGTAAAGGATCGAACAAATAACTATTTGTTTGGGTGGGGTTGTTTGCATTTTTGTGCTATATTTGTCTAACTGTGGCTGTCAAATTCATGCTGATTTTGAATCGGTTGCATGGGTTTCTGTGCGGTTTGTGTGTGTAAATATTATCTGACAAAGTGTGCATGATTCTAAAACTACGGTCATGAAGGCAGGCTGTAGAGTGACTATAATATGTAATGGCGCTGTGCAACATGACTGAGTCTTATTGCACTGTGAGATGTTAAACCCTGCTCTCACTGTCCTGAGACTGTCCTGTTCAGCCATTCTAAGTGACAACAGAATTTTACAGAAATGTTCTTCTGTGAGCTCTACTCAGGAGCTTGCATCTTACCTCAGATCATATAGTAGATCAATTATATCTAAAGGGAATGTTCCAGGAAGAATTAGCTAAAGACTGTCTATGTTCTGCAATCACTTTCCAGGCAATCATTTGAATGACCTGGTGCCATGCAGTGCTGACGAAATGGAGTCACTAAAGCTCCGAACTCCCAACTCCGGGTCAGGGAAATGAAAGGATCTGAGGAATAATTTGGCTTCCATCTGCATTAAAAGATGTTTGGAACACCGTACCCAAAGGTTGACCGCTGCTGACTGAACTTTAAACGTGCTTTTTATACTCACATGGATGAGCTTTGACAGTGTCCAACACAGGAAGTGACATTGACCTGCTCGGCGCTGGTGCATCCGTTCATCGTAATAAACGTCTGCTCACTCTGGACCTTACAGACACTTTGTAGTTTGCCTGGAACACACAGCAGTCATTACCATCTGGCACATTTATCCTCCGTTGAAGTTTCTATGTTGGTTACGTTTGGTTATAATAACTGCCTACTTACAGGTCTTACAGCACCCGCTAGCATCAGTAGTCTCAGTGCCCTAAGAGGGGGGGGGGGGAGACATGGCATGCTGTGTTAGAGACGAGCTCAATGGGCTGAGGCAGTTTGCAGTAAGGGGGTTTATCTGTCAGGGATTGATGAACTCACAGGTACACAGTCCAGGGAGTTAAAGCTTGGACAGGTGGTCTTGGTTTCCTTGGTGACCATCTGTCCATTGATCATCTCACAGGTGTATTGTACACATTTGTCATTAGGCGGTGTGAAAGTGTCATTGACCTATAACAAAATGAAGAGTTATGCTGTGTCAACTACTAAAAAAAGATGGCTTCTCCTCAACTGTGAATGTTATAAAAAGATATTCGATGCACTCAAGTAAGGAAACAAGCCAAACATGCAACACTGGTTAATTCGCTTTTATACCTATTAAATATTAAAAGCATTCTCTGCTTTGTGAAGAAGCAGCCCTGCTTCACTGACCTCAATGATATGCACTGTCAGGTTGTCAGGTGTGGTGAAAATGCAGCTCCTCTGCACACATCTGCCACAACACTTGCCCACTGTGGTCTGATATTCAAAGCCCTGTGGAAGGAATTGTCAGCAGGACCAAAAGCATAAAGAGAAACACAGGAAAAGATGGCTCAGTGCTGACTGTGTGCGCTAACATGATCCAGCATTTAACTATTCCTGCACTCATTTTCACATTTATTTTCTCATTTTAAGGAACTCTATAAATCTTTATGGGCAAAGTTGCTGGTGTGATCGTACCTCAGGACAGCTTGTGTTGCACACTACAGGTTTGCATGTGATAATGTTCAGCTTGGTGATTGGGTCCATACTGGGGCCACAGTAACATTCCTGGCAGGGCGTGGATTGAACTGACTCCTCTGAGGAATATCCTGATGTTGCTTGATTTATTTCTGAGAAAGCAATTGTTGCTGGTGGTAGTCCCAATGCAGATGTCTCTCCAATTGGTATTTTTGCTCCAGGCTATGGAATAACACATTGTGTGTTAATTTAAAGGGCCTGTTCACTTAAATGCATTCATTCTGAGTACAGTAAACAACTCAAATTTGTTGGTAATTCCCAGTGAGCTGTAAAAAGCTGGAATCATACATGTCTAAGTATGGAAAAAATTTTCAACCAAAGAAAGACTGTAAGAAACCAGCTAAAGGAAATCCCATTTCTATCCAAAAAACATAAACGATCACTGAAAGAAAATAAAGCTGGTTTACGGTGGAAACAGAATATATATGCAGTTATTGTCCCAGAAGTCAGAGCTGCTACAACATAGCAATGTTTTTATCATTTCATGACTATTTCATTTTTTAAAAAGCCAAAAAATACAACAAAACTTCTTCATTTCCAGAATAAACAAGTGTACACAAATAATCTCACTTTGTAGTGAATTATTGTTTTCTTTGAGTTGTGCTCTGTTTCCTGTTGTTGCTGCCTGATTGCCAATTTAACAAGATGCAATTTCTGTGCAATATTTTTCTAACAATAAACGTGCACCATCCAAATTTTACACACCATACTCTTAAATAGCTGCATGTATTGATTCTTAGAAAGAGCTGATTTAGTAAGAAGTCATTCTGAATATGGCTCAGGACAGCTATCAGGATTTTCAATTTTTTATGTAATGATCTCATTTAACTTTCTATAGAGCCCAGATTTTCTTTGATAATTACTAACAGTGTGGTGTTTTACTTACCTTGAACTCAGTCATGTCATAGACACACACTCCTTTAGGCTCTTTAGGGATAAGGGGGGAAAAGCATAATTAGTTTAGGGAACACTGACAGATTTTATGAATTAGTCTAAATGTGTGTTGTGAAGCAGATTATACACTACAATTGTAATATAAGACAGATGGACATGTACAGGCTCTGGTATTTTTCCATCACATGTAAGACTTGCCACTTAGAATCTGTTCAAAATACTCTTTACCATCCTTCACAACACAGGCACACCCATAAAAGGCTCTCAAGCCTTGCACAGTTTTTGATGCTCGGTTTACTCTGGACACACGGCTGGAGCAGGACTGGCAGAAAAGAGTTACATACCACAGTGGTAGGACTGACAGCAGGTGCCGTTGGTAACGGCCAGCTGGAAGCCCAGCGGGCAGCTAATGGGAGCTGCACACAGGTCGACACTGCACTCTGCAGGAGGCCATAAAGGGATAGTCAGCATGGGAACACTCAATTGCGCATTTATGTCATTCACAAGAACAATAACAGAGTCTCCATGTAAAGTTGGGCTCATGATGATCACACTATCAAAGATACATTTTTGGGAACCTATGAAGCACTTCCTTAGGAGGAACAAACTACTCCTGGATTGCTTTTTAATTTGAAATGTCTGTGGGATATAAGTGTTGTTCTAAAACAAGCAATACTGTTGTTCATTTATCAACACCGATGTATGCTGTCCCCCTTTTTCCTGAAGACAACATAAGAGAAGTGCCTCTTTAGGTAATCTGAAAACGTCTCAGCAAAGCTAACCATAAACAGGCTAGGAAGCAAAACACTGGGATTCTGCTCTTAAACAGCTAAACCAAATGCAAAAGAACATTTAGAGAAATTAGAATTTACCATAATGTAATTACACCTGTGGTTTGAACCTCCAATAACTTATCATTTCATCCATATATCTTTTTTTTTCACATGCATTTCAGACACTAATGTCTGGGTTTTAGTAAAACTGACCACATGACGGCTTAGTGCAGCAGCCGTCCACTTTGTTGACCAGCCTCTGGCCGGGCTCGCTGCAGTTGAGGCTCTGCACCGCGGGGCACTCGACTGGCTCGCACTTGATGCTCATCGAATCCCCATCACACTCACAGACGTTGCAATCGCTCGTCCACGTGTCACCGGGCTGTTCAACACAGACAAAGCAGCTGAGTAACACAGGTATTGGATCTGTATGTATATGAAGACGTGTGTCTGGCAATCTGCACCTGTTTGGGTTTTCCATCAGGTCCAACACAGCCTAAAATACAAACCCAGACACATGACCATGAGAGTGGTGACAGACAGAGAAAGCTATGCTCGAAAAAACTAACAGACTCACAGCCCAATTTGATAGATGGATCATTTGATTAACCACTATTTCAGTTTATCCATCAGTTACTGGTGCTTAACTCGTTAACAAAGTAACAAAGTGAAACCAAACTATTCTAGAAAATCTCCTTACCACAGGATGTGACGCATGTGTTGTGCACTGTGTTGAATAACGTAGTGTCAGGAGGACAGAAGCAGCCTTCCTTTGTGTAGTTACTGGATCCCTGGAATATCTTGTTGTACCTGGTGAGAGAGACAGTATCGCTTACATTGGTGGGATGACTTAGACTGGATTAATTAGTTTCAGACAACAACAACATGCTAAGTGGAAAGATCTATCCTTAATGTGGATATTTCATTAGGTGTTGGAGCCTGCAACACTGATCCACTCTGTTTCCCTCTCAACCTGCCAAACCATGAGCCACTTCCGCCCCATGCCACCAATAAAACCAATAAGCATTGACAAGTCCCGATTCTGTTGTGAGGTTTGGTTCCAGAACGCCCCGCTATGGGGGAACGACTGGGAAGCAGTTACATTGTATTCATTTTATTATTTCTACATGTATTTGAAGACGTTGTTGTGGTGGTTAGCACAGTCGCCTCCCAGCGAGAGGGTTCCTGGTTTGAATCCCTTGGGAAACTGGTGCATTCTCCATGTTTGCACCAGAGTCCCAGTGTCTGCATACTCTACTCTGGCTACTACTACTTCCTCCCACCGTCCCCGTGTTGGGTGAAATGAAAACTCAAAATTGCACCTACGAGTAAAAGTGAGTGTGTGCTTGTTTGTATTTATGTGGGCCTGTGATGGAGGGGTGACCTGTCCAGGGTGTGTCATGTACAATCTCATGTGGTCAAATTAGCTTAAGCGAAAGTGGCCACAACCTGAGTTTTCTATAACTGTGAGTGAGTCTTTGTCTGCTCATCTGCTGTATGCCATGTGCTTTATTTCCATTTAATATTCCTCCAATATATTTTGATTATGACATTTTATGCAGTTTTTTAGGCTAAAAAATGCTTAGGAAGGATTAAACATGTGGACGTAATGCAGTAACCAATCATTGCATTTAAAACAAGAATTTTCTAATAAGTTTTGCATGTGCTAAAATATCATCCTCTGTACCTGTCATTACATGTTGGCTCTATCAAGGGACCACAGGCCATGTACACTTTGTTGCTTGGACAGCCGTGCTCTGCAATATAGAGGTATATTCATTAACAATTAAGAAGTTTTGAAATTTCAAAGTATTGCGCAGAATTGATGACATATAACTCACCACAGAGCCCATTGGAAGCATTTCTCCAGTCAATACATACTCCTGCATTGGAACACTCCGTGGCATAGGCTTCTAGGCTGGAGCAGGAGTTATTTCCACCATTGCAATTGTCATATAAACAGGATGTGGCGAATGGACCAGGAGCTATGACAGCATGGCACGGTGCAAATATGCTGTTGGGGCAAACAAGCAAGTTAATGCTGGAAAATGACGTTATTTATGACACATTTCTGGATAAAGAGATGGACATATTGTTTCCATTCACACTAAATAGAACCACACTAAAAATATTTTCTGTTTACAGGGAATAAACAATTTTGTGCTTCTTACTTGCTGCTTAGGAGATCACAAAGAGGCGATTTGCAAATGGGCTCTGCAGTTGAGGATGGGGGCTGGGCAGTGGTAGTGGGTCCTATTGTAATAACTGGGGGGGTTGATGGAGTGACACATGGTGTACCAGGGACAAGCCACTGGCCTGCTGAATCGGAGCAGCTTGCCACCTGACCGTTTGGAGACCGGCAGTCATTGGTCTGGGAGTTGTCACAGGTGCCTGATAAAAACAGAGGCAGCAGACTGAAGTCACAGAAATGGTCTGTCTTTAAATGCATGAGTTTAATGCATTAAAAAGTATTTGATCTTGGTCTTTAATCTCTTGGATGTGCCTAGAAACTTTAAGGTTTGCAAAAAATATTTAACCATTTTACATTAATGATAGACAGCACATGCATTTACTTCTAGTTAATGTGGCTTCGGATATTTTCTGGACACTTCATAAAACCCCACTATGCTTAGCAGCTAAACTCACAGTGCACAGTTATATGGGGAAGTCCCCTGCTCTGAGCACTGTTGTCTACTAAAATTTTATCTCTGATGCCTTTGACCTCACAACTCTGACTCAGTAACAGTGGACGAACAGGGTTAGAATAAAAACCATGCGGCATGGTAAACTCACCGCACTGCCCCTCAGTGTTTCCACCAAAGAGGGAATGGGGTAGGTCAATGCTGAATGAGGAGCCCCTGTATTCTATTTTTGTGCTAATATCCTGTATCGCCACTGTGATCGCCATGTCTGTGCCGATGACTTGGAGGACAGGATTGCGATATGCCGGATAGATGCGTTTCTGATTTACATACACCTGTGGGACAAAGAGAGGATAAGAGAAGATAAATAAATTGTGGAAAAGTCTGTAAACCATGCAAAAAAACACTCATTTATCAGTTCCTCTTGATTGAGAGATGAACCATCAAGTGTATATATTTATATATGCACTCAATGGTATATATATTTTTATAATGGCTATAAAGATAACTAGTCGAGACACCAACACTAAAACTACAGTCTGTTTGAACTGCTTCTTACCACATTAGTCACTGTTCCTGATGCCTTCTGCTGAGTTAAAACTACCTCGAAGGACTGATATGTGACTTTGAGAGTCAACGGACAGAATGAAGGATCTGAAGGATCACAGTGGTCATGGCTCTTTAAGATAGTCAGGTTGTGTGTAGAAATAATCTCCCTGACCAGGTAGTAAGAACAGTTTTCATTGAAATCATAGGTCTTTCCATCAAATGTCATGTAATGGGATCCACTCCAGACACTGCACACACCTGCAGGATGAGAAGAACCATGTATAGAGATCGTAAGAACAGTTGTCAGAACTAGCATAACAATACAGAATCATCTATATTACCAAAGAAATTATATGCTTATTTTAATTAATAATGCCACTAACTCAATCAATGTGACATCAATGGTTGATTAAGCAAAGACTTTTTATACACATCTTCACATTTAAAAATGGAAATCAAATTACAAGCAAATATTTGAAAAGTAGGTTTGTTTTATTCAATTCTGAAATCATTATGTGTCTTATGAATATCTGTCTCATATATGTGGCAAAATGGCTTGTAACATTAATTCTAGTGTGGTCTTCTGCAGACGGAATTTTAACAACAAATAATTTTAGGAACTATGGATTCAGTTAAAGGTCCTCTGTAACCTACAAAATTTACAGCCCACAGCAGTTGTTGAAAAATTGTAGGTTCGACTTACATGCACATTCATAATGAAAACAGCATCCATCTTCATCATAAATCTGAACAGCTTGGCGTCCATTGGTACAGATGGGTTGGTATACGACAGGACAGTCAACAGGTATCACTGAGATCTGGCCATTTGTACAAGTAGCTTGGCTGCAATTGCCAACCTTCCAGGAGTCTCCATTCTGAATCGACATTGAAAAATATGAATTGTTAGAAAATATACGTGAAGTAACATTTAACAATGAACTTGTTTTTTTGTTTTGTTTTTATCTCAGTGCTACTTTGACCAAAAGAATATCTTAGATCAATTTCTTCAGTTTTAGCCAATAACATTGTTCCTCCTTTTGATGAATCAATCACTGTTAACACAGAATTAATGATATTCTGGTTTTAAGTATGCTTTCTGCATCAGAATACAGCTAAAGATTAATCAAGTAACCAGCAATTTCTAAACATGTTTCATGGGTATAAACAGCTTAAAAAGATGGTGTAAGAAACTCAGTCAGGAATTTTGGAAATGTTCATCACCTGTTTTGGTGGGTTCACATCATTGCAGTCAAGGCTAGCAGTAGATGGATTTGTTGGTTTGGTAGAAACAGAGGTAGGGGTGGTTGTGGTCAGAGGAACTGATGTTGACATTGTGATGACCACTGGGGTAGTAAAATGTGGAGTGGTGCTCGATGTCGGTGTTGTTGGACATGGGCTCGATTGGGTCTCAATTTCACAGGATGCATTGCAATATGCAGTGTAACACCACTCTAGCCCATCAGTTACATTGTACAGCAGGTCACCTATAAAAAAGTCATAGGCAGGGGATATTGAGTTCTCTTTTCTTTTTACATATAAATTAGATTTTT